GAATAAAAATTAAGATGGGGTAGGACTGGAATGAAATCTTTTGCTGCTGTTTTTTTACCTCATTAAAATGTGAACAAGGACTATTTTATGCATGTTTTATTATATAACTTGTTTATATATTACATTAAAACATGCCTTGTTTACTTACAGTTTTCTGCCTTTCTTCCCCCTTTGCTGTGTTTGCATTTCTTGCTTGATCTGTGCTGCTACTTTGGAAAAAAACATATTTCTTGCATTTTTTTGCTTTTAAAATATGTTTTGCATGATCAAAATGTTACAACTTATTTTCTATCCAAATGATTCAAAAATTATATGAATGAAAAAAGCCATTCAGGTAGGCCCTGGCCATTTTTACCAGGCTGACTGTATTTGCAATAGGGCTTGAAAAAGACAATGGCTTTTGTACTGGGCTGCAGTTTAGAGATGAGGTTGAAGGATTTAATTAAATAATTTGAAGGTAAACCTTGCTTCAAACAGATCTAAGGAAACAGAAGCTCAGTCTACACGTAGGGGAAGAGACCTGCTTTTAAAAGAACTACTTGTTTTGCAAGGAATAAAAATATGTTGCCCAGTGTTACCTCTTGGAAAAGACTCAAGAAGCCAATTGTCATTTTGATTTATGTATGTTATAGGCAAAAATACAACTTTTGGTTATGTACTATTGTGCCAAAAAGCTCTTCAAGTCAGTTGCTCTAGGTTAGATCAGATATCATCTCTCTAACATTCATAATGTTTGAATTTTGAGACCAATTTTGAAGTGAGGACACAGTGCATTAGATTGCTGCATTAGCACAGAGGCTGCTATGTTCTACACAATGAAGCATTAAAAGGCCTTTTGTGTTTTCATTTAAAAAAGTGTATTTTATATAAATTCTGTAGTGCAATAACTTCCTACACCATGTTACATTCTTTACATTATACGCTTCCCCTGTAAACAGCTTTCTTGTATGAACTTCCTTTGCAGTTTGTGCGATATATTATTCCCCCCACCCTAGATTTGAATTAATGTGACTATTTACTCAAAAATTGTTCTGATTACTCTGTGAGCATCTTTTAAATGTGTATATTAGGTTTCATCACTGAAAAGGAATTAAAACTTTGATTCAGGATTCTGCAGTTAGTATAAAATATAAAAAATAGATTGATTGCAAAGCTATCTCCCTGAACAATCTTCATTTTCCAGTGATACGAGAGTCAGACCCCTTTCAGGTGCACAGGGGAGTCACTTCATCTTAAGACTCCTTAAGTTGTTTCGAAATTCCACAACTGTGGGAGACTGACTCTAGAACTCAAAAACAACCCTCCCCTTACTGTGGTGAATGGGTAATAAGTCTGAAATGGCTTCAAAGTTGTAGAAAACCAGAAAAATATACTTGGGTAATTTTACATAATTTGCTACATGACAATTCGTGATGAGTGAAGTAATTCTGGACTGCACTTTTTACATCTGCTGTACTGGAATGAAAGCTAGGTTCAGTTCTGCAACTGCTCAAGTAAATGTTACAATCGGGAATTACACATGAGCTACGTGTTCAGGAGTGGATCCCCTGTATGCAGGCAAGACTGGAAAAACCACATGTCTAAACCTGTGCTTCTGGAAATAACATTCAGCATAGTCAGAAGTATACAATGAAAGTAGACCAGAAGCACTTCTAAAGCTTGATCCTTTTGCTTCCAAGATTTAAAAAAAATACAACATCTGTTAGTAAAGAGAATTGCATTTCTTTTGCTTGTACAATTTCAAAATAAATGTGCTTCTCTGAAAACATTTAAAATATGGCAATTGATAAGGGCCTGGTCTTCTCATCTGATTTATATAGTTAAAGCTCCTGTTGATTTTTATCGAGAGACTCTTTCCATCCTCCTTTATATTTCAGTCAGTCCCTTTTCCATCAGACTCCCATTGGTTTCAGGGGATATTAATCTGCACAAGGATTGAGGCTTTGATTTTACCACTATTGAATTTTTAGTGATTTGAATAGGGCAGAATCAGGTTTGCATAAAGCTTAGCTCAGGAGAGCTTAAGGAATGAAGTCTCTGCTCCTGCTATATGTCCCCTATGTCTGGGCTCCTCCCTTTCCACCAAGTGGCACAGATCTGAGGGGGCTTTTCCAAAGCGTAAGGGTCACCTGGGAGAAAAAGCACACAGAAGGAACACGACACAGACCTCAGTCTTGCCAGAACATTGTTATCTTGAATGGGATTTTTCTGTGGATCCAGAGCATGGGACCAGGTCCCATTTGGACTTAATTTGGTCTTCATTTGTTCACTAGGATGTAAAGGCAGATTGAACAGGCCCATGTGATTTCATAAAACTGCACATAGAAAATACAGATCAACACTTTAGGCATATAAAATTTGACTGGCATTTAGTTTTAGTCACCGAAAATATCTAGGAACTGAAAAATAAAAATAAATATAGAAGACTAATGACTATAAAATAGTCAAGAGCTACATTTTGGAACTGAGACACAACATGACTGAAAAATGTTAAGCAGAATGCCGTATAAATAGGTTAAACTGAATGCAGCAACATGTTGCAATGGGCTGCAACAAAGGACAAAAAAATCCATTTTTATTTTGAGAATTAATGACCAGACATTGTTAGGAAAAAGTAATGTTACATTCCCAGTTTTTCAAATGACTGAAGACACACCTCAATGTTATCTTGTTATGGAAATCAGAAAACTTAGGAAAATATAGAATTTATTTTTTTTTTTTCTTAAAAAACCCAAAGATTTGTGCTGTGCTTATTGTCTGCCTCAGCCACCAGCATCCATATTTTAGGGCTTTTCAAACTTGCCTCCTTTCCATGGGCCAGGCTTGAGCAAGGTCTGTGGCATCAGCCCAGCCATTTCAAGCAGAGGGCAATGTTGCAACAAAAATGCTTGCTTTTTTACATTAAATGCATTAGGCGCCTGATTTTTACTCATTTAAATGACAGAAAATGACACACAAGTAAAAATTAACCTAGGTCCACTCTGGGAAGTAGAAGCCTGCTGTTACAAACCACGTGTTGGTTGATCTAAAGTGCTTTTGAGGCTTCCATTGTTGCTGTCTGTGTCTTTGCAAGGCTTGCTGTTCCAGCTGACTTGGAAGAAGCATCCGTTCCCTTCTGTGCACAGGGAAGTGAGAAGCCAAATCTCCAGCAACAAGCCTGTGGGGCAGTGGAACTGATGCTAGAATTTCTAAACACCTCCACAGACTTTTAACTGCTGGACCCTCTGGCTATTATCTTCAAGGCTACACTGCTGCTCTTACAAAACTCTCATAAGGGAGTATCCGATTTCAGCAGAAATCAGAGGACAGCAAAAAAATACCTGTATTCTGTTTTCCTAGAAAAAAAAAAAAAAAAAAAAAGCAAAAAAGCCTGTGTAGCTGCACATTTTTGCTTCTGATTAGGATTAATGGATTGAATAAACTTTTTATGACTGAGGGAATTAAAGCAATCTATAGGCTTTTTTATATTATAGCATAGGAAGCTATTGGTTCTGGATAAAAAAATAATAGCTTTTTTCAGTTAGTGGTTAGATGGGTACTGTGTACTGAAGGCTTTGGTTCAGCATCTTTCTTTTACAAAGAGGGACAATATCAGAGAAACTGAAGATGCTTTGGCAGTTGTCAATGGAATGATTGACATTTCCCTTTATTGAAGTACAGGGGAAAGCCTATACTCCGTTTTGGAACAGCCGTGGGAGGATCGGTTGAGGCAGAGTTGGTGAGTCAGGTGATACCTTCTGTCAGTCCAAATGATTTCACTGAAAAACACAGACGGGCTTTGGGCCATGGAAGACCTGGGGCAAGTCATGTACTTGAAGCCTGTTTTTCCCAGCTCTATGATTTGTGATAATAAAAGGTACCACTTCCCCATCCAAAGCTTATCTCTTGTGTCCTTACACCGTAATGGCTTCAACAACGTTGCCAATATTGAAGTATGGGC